AATCGCTACTCTATTCTTTGGATCACCGTGTATGAGAATCTGCGAGTGGAATCTCAAACGTTCGCCATTAATGAATACGAACACGGCGCGAGTTTCCGCAAATGGAACTGGGATAAATGAAATCAAATTTTAAATAAATTATGGATTTTGCGGTAGAAACAAACATTTCATATAGTTCATATAACGTTTTCGAATGTTTAAGTTGAATCATCTTTGGTACATTGAGAAAATCATGAATGAAATTCATGAATGAAAATTTGCACTAAATTAATGTACAAAAATATTTGCAGTTATTCCAAATAGATAAAAATGTGGCGTGGAGTAATTAATCAAGGATTTAGAATTATTTTGGAATTATTTTAGGTAATGAATTAAAAACGTCGTATGGGATAAAATAGGGTAATAAATAGTCACCATAAATATACTGAAAATAAGACCAATCGCAAGAAACAGGACGATAACATCGAATTTACTGCTACGCTTCGGATAATTGTACACTTGCTTGAAATACCTTTAATATAGATTTACTTAATCTTCAATTCTTTTTCAAGTCAAGTCCGCATTTTTTCTAGTGGAATGTTAGATTATTATTTTTATAAAAAGTAATACGTACAACAGGAATTTCAAGTTTTAAAACTGGAATATCAAGTTGTTCACATCAGTAGAATTATCACTAGACTAACTACACGGACAGACTCCATACGATGATTCTCCAGTAAGACATTCTAGGCACCTAATATATTTTATCTTAAATATTCGTTAAATTTTAATGTTTATTGAACAGCGTCAATTATATTATAATACAGCGTCAAATTCATTATAATACATTCAGTAATTCAGTTTTACGTTTAAAATGATGAGTTTAGATGCATAAAAACACAATGCATGCCAGGCATTGCATCCATAAACCATAAACACTTGATAATATTAGTACCAATTTTTCTGTTGTTCAATTCTATTTTAGTTGTGTATTTACTACCATTTAATAATATGAAATCGTACGACATTAAAGTATGGAGTATTAAACACTATCTAAGGAATAATTAAAGTATTTAAAAATAAATAAAATAATATTATTTCAGATATAATGAAGAAATAATAACTACACAAAAATTGAATTATTTTTTATTATTACTGGTGGGACATTAAATAAGCTAATTCTCTAATGCAAGACAAACTAAATACATAAACATTAGTGATATTCCTTAAACAGATTCGTAACTTTTTCTCATATGTATATTTCAATTGAGAAAATGTCTACATACTTATTAACAAAGGTGTACATAAATCAATTACAAATTTCTAATTTCAATTATGGCTTCATTGCTTATCTATATTTGTAAATAAAACTTGCATCAGTTATAATTAATACAATTTCATATTTACAGACCTTAAAAATTGCTTAATGCAACAAGTCGAAACGTCGTTATTATCAAAATTAGCCCCAGCAAAGACTGAATTGTCTCATTCATTTTTACATGAGCATCCTTGGACACTGCTGAAAGACATTTCAGAATACTAGAAAATACCGACTACTACCCTGTAACAATGTTATAACAATGAAAAAAATGATTAAAAATAGAAAACAAAAATCTCTTTTATTGATTTAATAAATCTAGTATTATTTGTTAAAACATTGACAAGCCACAATTACTTGTTATGTACATACAATAAAAATTCTTTAAAAAATCTTGATTTCTTTCGCGCGTACGATGATAGCCTCTTACAAGTATAAATCGCGAAGATAAGGTTGAAGGTATTGTAGCAATAAATACGAACAAAGCGTTTACAAAGCGTGTACGAAGCGCGTGACCGTGTTTGGCGCTTTAGCCTGAATATGTAGAATAGATTCGTGTGTCCGGTTCAGAATGTGTTAATTGGACAATATCCGCGGGGAACTGAACGAGCAATGCCGTGTGCACGAGCTTCGGCTCGATACGCAGCGATCATAACGATCGTGCCAGAGCAGCGAGGACGGGGCTACAACTGAAATTGTAATTTTAAATGGAAGCTGCTCCATAGACATGAAACAGACACGCCACCGTTCTCCGGGGCTAATGGCGCGAAATCTCAGCGTTGCTGCATCCGTGTCCTTCGACTGTGTGGGTGCGTGGAACGGTATACTTGTGCATTATGCACGCAGCGTGTGTATATCTGTTCCTGGTAAGGTATATCTCCAGAGAGAAGCCGCCTCGAGTCTTATTTGCGACGACGGATGTACACTGCCGCTCAAAAGTCGTGGGACAGTTGCTTTCTAATCGAAATTATGCAACAGTTTGGAGAATTTTAAAGAACGTTTTCTTCATTTTTTTTTTCTATCATCTGCGAGGAAAAATAAAAGGACATGTCTTCTTATACTGTTCTATTTAAATCATCATTGAAATTGATAAATTATAAAGGATTTAAAGGGTTTACCAAAAGAAGTTGTAGGATTTTGTTTGTTACTAAAACACAAATGGCATGGAATATATCGAATTTATTATATTTGTATAATATATTCACATATGTATTTATAATAAGACGTCAACTATAACTATAATGACTTTGTCATTTAAAAAGCAAATCTTAAAGTCTCTTTAGAAAAATTCTATTTATATAAAACCCAGACATACCCCTATTTATATAGGATTTTTTAATAACTAAGTCAACGCAGTTGACGTTGACATATTATTGTAAAAATATATAAATATACTGTATAAATATAATTAATCGGAATATACATATATATGTCTTCCTGTTTTATTGTAAGTATTTTATAAAATTTGAAGGCAATGAAATAAAAAATATACATGTAACCTTATTAGCCAGAGAAAAGTTAAATTATTAATCTGTCTCGAAGGTATACTTTTGTTTCAATATATCAATTTTGATTTTATTTCAATTTTTCTTGAATAAAATCTACTTTATATAATTCATACGCAGTTATGCTCACTTCCTTTTGAAAAATGTCATTCATAGTTCCTTATAAGTAACCAGTCTGCATAAACTTTACATTAAAAGAAGTTGTTGTAGTTGGAAATATTTGTTCCATCCTTAAATTTAAATGTTTTATGTCGTACATTCCATATTGTTCTACTATGTTCTATTATTATCAGGTTTGCATACTTGAAATTATTCAAGTCCTGCAATGTCTACACATAAACAAATATTTTGCATATGAATTAGAATCTCAGGCAGGAGCAGCAAAGAAAATATTCTATACATTATGAAGTCTTCGTAATGAGATTGCAATCATTTGAAAAATACTTGTATGTGTTTAGAAATGATGTTCCATAGAATTCTCTATTCACGTTCAGTCCCATCAAGATCGATTTTTATTCATCTACTTACATCCTCTACTATTCCTCTTTATTTTTACTCTGTATTATACCTAAGACTGAATTACGCAGTTCGAAGTTCTCCAAGTTGCAAATATATGTGCATTTACAAGTACAATTTTGTAAGACTCGTAGGGGACCACAGGAAGTTTTGTTACGCTGAAAGATTGATATATTGAAATATAACTAGTTTTATTATAGCCGACGTTAGAATGGGAATGATTAATTATAGTCGAGCGAAATTCGTGAAATCTAGTCGTCGATAAGTCGAGAGCGAAATGCACGGCACTTCCTCTTCCAATACAGAAGCAACGATGGTGAAATAGGAGGAATCTGATTTCCATAGATTTTCAATGAACGATATCTCAGTATTGCCACCCTCGTTTGTATGCAACGGCAGGTATCGCAGCAGGAATACAACAATGGAATCCACGTTGAAGATTAAGTAATCCATGGATAAAAAAAATCGCGTAATTACCATATTATCCGTCGTATTTCTCCAGCAGCCGCGTAGATTATGCGCATAATGGCTAATCTACCTAATCCGCGGCGAATCACGCATTCATTACACCCAACCACGTGCTTCTGCGAGCATGCCGCGAAGTTTATTTCTTAACCAGCCGCATCAATTTAGAAAACGTACAGCTTTTACTCTCCTATTGGCCTTACAGCTACCGCAAGCGTATACCATTCTCTAAATTGCCGTTTTCAACGTTCCGTGAAACTATGTTACAAGAAACTATTCAAAGAGTTGAAGAACGGAGTAACAAGTTAAAAATAAGTTTGACACAGGTGAAGTTTGTTTTAATTATATATTTATAGAAATTTGTAGGCTAACAAGCATAGTGTAGCTGTAAGTATATTTAATGTAAATGTTTCGATCTTTAGGTTAGTTACAGTATATCCATCAAATAAAATATAAAGATCAAAAATTGAGAATGTAGATCCAATATAATTTGAGGCCGAGAAACTAAGCTATAGATAATAAAGTGAATCCTGAGCGAGTAACGTGAAAATTAACTTGTATAGTGAGAATCTTAGGTGATTATATCTTCCTTGTCAATGCGATTAAATTCTATTTCATAATCTGTAGCAATAATAAGGCCTTATATTAAATTATATGCAAAAATGTCCTGATAGAAAACTGACACAATAGAACTTTATATTTTAAGTTGGATAATGATAGTTCTTTGTATCCTAGTTGTGGATAAAATATTGTCTAAATAGTAGAAAAAACAAAAATAATTAGAATTTCCAATACATGTTCTTAAGATCGCGATTGTATTAAAATTTTGTTCATACTGATAATGTTCTTTTTAATGTATTTAATATCTACAAGTTTATCATTTCCAATTATTTTTAAGATGGAAAATGAAATCAAACTAGCCTATTTATATTAGTAATAACTCTTCATTTATTCAAAAATCATATGTTTTCATCTTACATATTCCCAACAAGGGATACATATAATCCAATCCTAATGAAAAGTCTAGAAGTTTAAAACGACGACAGTATCTTATATTTGAAAAGAAATGCACAATTTAAGGAAGCAATGACGTAACGATTCATTAGTTACAGCAGATTGGCTGTGGATCTTTGGATCTATTAATGTATGTTACTATCACTAATACCTAGCTGTGAATTATGATTATAGAAACGAAATGACTAGTAGCATCTACTTACCAGTGTATGCAGCCAGTGTTGTCTGTCCAACAGTAGAAATTGCCATCCATTGTCAGACTATGCTAGACTCCCCTGGCCTGCAAATTGAGAAAAGTTCAGTATCAGTCTACGTTTTAATGATTACATTAATTAATGACTTTAATGACATACATTTCTTTGTCATTTTTATAAAAATGAAAAGTAATTACTATTTAATTAGAAAATAGTACAGACTAGGCAAGTCTAATTTATTTTCAATGTGCAAATTATTTTTACGAGTTACTGCTGGGCAAGTAATATATGGAAAAGGCATCTTTTCATTCAAATCATTAGATTTATTTCATTAGACTGAACATGAACATGTGAGCATTGGCAAATTTTTAATCGGCCTTGTTTGGGATACTCCTTTACTTTGGAGTCTCACAGTTACTAAATACAAAGTCGTTTGTGTACTTCCATGAGACGTGTCTGACTCGTGTCTATTCATATTTGACTCGAATTTTGTACCACGAGTCTCGCATATTGTTATAGGTAAAAGGATATCTCTCAATTATCAAACTACTCCAAACCACTTTTATAGTATTCCATTTTCTAGAATCCTAGCTGAAAAATCAAATTTTGTGTTCGCACCCCTATTCAAGGTTTTGTATAAAAGCGGCCCTACTCGTCCAAATTAAAAGTATTTTAACCCCTTAAGCTACAACCACGTGTGAGACTCGTGGTCGGATATTCAAGCCAAAATGAATTATCACGAGTATGTCCCGTGATGTATTGCTCGACCCAAATGTAAACATTACATTTTAGTCCCAGGCTGTTGAAGCACAAATCGTAGCTTAAGGGGTTAAAACTAAACTATACAACGAAATAAAGAACTACCAAAAAAGATCTACCAAGAAATTCTAAATAGTAGATTGAGCATAAAGGAGAGAATGTTAACGTCTCGACTGAGAACAAGACATGCAACAGTCATAGAAAACCATCTACTGAAAAAGATAGAAGCGCTCTACTATGAATGCTGCAACAGAATCCTACCACAATCAACTCTAATTTCTCAAAGACACATTAAAAAACCCCATAAAATACGTGATAGAATCAACATTATACGATCAAATACGACGACAGAAACAGCAACATCTCGTCACTAATGCGCCAGTAATTGATGCGACGCTAAGTACGCAAGAAAAAAAAAATTCATACGAATTGATCACTTGCTATATGAATGCACAACACACAAAAAATACCATAAAATACCAGACAAACAAAAATTATACGACAAAATTTGCCAACCCAAACAGCAACATCTTATCACTAATAACTAGACTGCGGATCTTTATGCAAAATAAAATCTTCGCGAACGTGCTAACAAAAATTCCACCTAAATAGAAATTTATTTTATTCAACAAATATTATAACATGAACTTTATTTTCAATCCTTTTTATATTCTTGCATATCGTTTGCATTTTGTAGTTTCTTGCACATTCAAATTTTCTATAAATGCATAAAGATCTGGAGTCTACTAATGACCTAGTTGTTGATGCGACATTAAATAAAAAATTGTTCATCTCATTCGCCAACGTGCATGAAAGTGGTTGACCGAAAACTTCGACGAGGGTTAAGTTTCAACGCGTTTCTCATGCTTGTCGCCCGAGTCCCGATGAAACGTTCTCAGAAAAACTTGACCCTCGTAAAGTAGTGACCAAGTACGATGCGACACTCGAGCCTCGGTTACTTAGCGCCTAAGTGAATTTTACATATAAATAATTGGACTATCAGATACCGCGTAGGACTCGGGCGGAACAATGTCCCCGGCATTGTTCACTCCACTTTTCCAGCTCGTAAATTCCGTTCCCAGCCGGCGTAAGACAATAGTATCGCCTTGAAGATGAAGCAATCCCCGTAGAAAAATGTCGGTAATTACCATATAATCCATCGTATTTCGCCGATAGCCGCGTACCGGGCTACGCGCATAATGGTTAATCTGCCTAATCTACAGCGTGCCGGGCATCCATTACCAGCGACCACGTGCTCCTCTATCCTCTGAGTGGCTACACGAAGCGAACTCGCCTGTAAACTGGCGCCATCCCTGATGGGGTCTCTTTTATTCACGGCTCAAGAATTCGATCTGCAGATCCCCTGGACCGATATTCTTACCAGACACATCCCGGACGTCGCGGTGAGCGGGATATCGCGATCACGAGGCGAATCTCAGCCTGAGTGACACGGCGATCGCTTGTTACCGATACACGCGCGTGTGTAAGACGACGTGTTCGCGTGATTTAATAATTGCCTTATAAGGCCCGGCACCGTAATTGATCGATACGACTCGGCGCTATTCCAGCCTCGATCCCTTCTGCCCCTGCCACAAACCACTCGATCGCTCGTGCTTTTTGCTCCTCTTCGCCATCCGGATCGGATGGTTAACCGCTAGATCATCTTCCAGCCAATAACCTCTCGGATTCCGAAAGGGTCTGTCCGTTAACGACCAGACGCCGATTTGAAACTAGAGACGGGTTTAATAATACGGTGCCCCAGCGTAGTACTCGACAATCGGGATTACGCGATTATCGATACGCGAGCCAGGGGAGGGGGGAGAGTGTTTTGCTGGATGGTCGATCAACCAGTTGAATGAAAACGGGTTGGTGGAAGAGGATAATGAATGAGGATACAATGAGATGAATGTCACCTAGCTGGCTAAGTTTTGTTTTCATGGTTGATACGGTGATGACTCTGGTAAGAACATTTTGGATTCCGGAAGTGTTTCGAACGATGAGTTTAACGATATGGAAGTGCCTTACGTGATAAACGAAAATCGGTACCATACAAATATAGGGATGGTTGAAAGGAATATACAGGGTGTCTCATAATCTTAACACGCGATTATCTCGCAAAATATTCATCATTCGAAAAAAATGTTTAAACGAAACATGCTTTATCTGAAGGGGGACATTCAATGGTGTACACTGTTTTTTCTAGGTGGAGGCGCCTCCGAGATTTGAAGGTCACCTTTGTTTTTTTGAATGGAAACGTAGTTTTTTTCACGCTAGACACATAGCTTATTTCAAGACGAATTCATTGACCTATATTATGTTGACCTTGAAATGTCATTCAAGGTCGTTTCCATGGGTTAAAGTTTTCTTCTTCACTGCACGTCCAGCGTATCACAATCTATGGTGTCAAGAATCCTTCGACGACATCATTTTCACCCGTATCACATTTCATTACATCAAGCATTACGTGATGCCGATTATGGTGCCAGATTGAGATTTTGTCAATGGTCTCAGCGTAGGATAATGCGTGATCCTTTATTTTTCTCCTATGTGCTATTTTCGGATGAAGCAACTTTCAAAAACACAAGCGAAGTGAATCGTAACAATTTCCACTATTTGTGTGATGAAAACCCTCACTGGTATCGAGCAATTGAACATCAGCGTCAATGGTCTCTAAATGTTTGGTGTTGCATTATTGCTGGCTATTTAGTGGGTCCATATTTTTGTAACGGTACACTAACTGCAAAACGATACAATAATTTTCTTCGTAATGAATTGCAAATCCTTTTAGAAGGCATTCCACTGGCCACCAGAAGAAGAAAACTTTAACCCATGGAAACGACCTTGAATGACATTTCAATTAATATAGGTCAATGAATTCGTCTTGAAATAAGCAATGTGGCTAGCGTGAAAAAAACTACGTTTCCATTTAAAAAAACAAAGGTGACCTTCAAATCTCGGAGGCGCCTCCACCTAGAAAAAAAACAGTGTACACCATTGAATGTCCCCCTTCAGATAAAGCATGTTTCGTTTAAACATTTTTTTCGAATGATGAATATTTTGCGAGATAATCGCGTGGAAAGATTATAATGAGACACCCTGTATATTAAGAATAAATGGAGATACAGTGTCATGAAGTTCACTTAGCACGGATTCGGAACTAGAAATAGGTTTCACAATAGTGCTTTTCGAAAGCTCGAAAAGTGGACCATCCAATTATCAATACGCGAGGTAAAAGAAGAGAATGTTTTGTCACATGGTCTTTCATCTGACTGAATGTGAACGGAATGAACGAAGAAGATAATAAATAGGGAGACAGTAGGGTGAAGTCTATTGAGAAAGTTGTGTCTTGCTTGGATAGTTGACATGAGAATGACTCCAGCCAATAATCTCTTGAATTAAAATGGTTTAATTCGGTCCATTAATGAACTATAAAGCTAGTGAATACAATGAAATTGTATGCTGAGTTTTATTTTTATAGCTGATATAGGGATGATTGTCAATAATTGACAAGGAAGATCTACAACCGGTGAATAGAAATTAAATGACAGATAAATTAACGTCATCACAAATGTTAATATATTGTCAATCTAATGCTTTAAAAATTACTTGAGTTGGTACATAAAACCCGTTGGATTAAACATCAAGCTGTGAAACCCTCTATTTAATTGCATACAAAATAATGCAGGATGTCTAAAACACTAGGAAAGAAGATGATTCTATCTGCCAAGTGATGAACAAAGTTGAAAGGATCACAGTGTAAGGATGTCATGTAGAATTGAAATTAGATGTTCAATCTCTTATATGACGTACTGTATTGTACTTGCATTGGTTATCAAATTCTAGAACATTAATCATTATTGGAGTTTATATAAATTATTAGAGTGAACGTAACGTTTTGAGATCATCTACAAAAGATGTGTATATAGACTGGCGAAAAATGCCTAAAACACAGAAAATCATAGTGTTGTGCAATTTCAATGATGTTATGCCAATGGGAATTTAATTTCGAATTGTTAATATGGCATACTATATTTGTGTTGAGTATAAATCTGTGCAATTTTGAACAGAACTGAAATTGAATTAAACGTAATATTTAGACAACCTACAGAAAATATAATATTTGTCAACAACTATTCAATGATTATTTCTATAGCGTAGAGATTTGAAAAATTTTGAAATTTAGAAATTTGTTAAACAATAAATAGATATTATAATTTCTTTGGAATGTTAATAAGAAGGAATTGAAAAGATCAGACTTTACTGATAACACGACAAGTGGGAATTGAAGCATGACGTACAATCCATTATATTCAACTGTGGCACTTGA